CTCCTGCTGACTCCCTCAGGCTAATGAGTACAAAATCAAGGTTAGAGTCCCTCTCTCTATTCAGGAACTGGGCATTGAGGGCTGTTGCCCAGTTTTTCTTTTTTGTTCTCAGAAGAGGACAGAGCAACTGATCAAATGGGGGAAGGGGAGGAGAGTTCCCCTATGTCAAGCCCAGAGTGAGCTACGGGCTATGGGAGCCTCACACTTATTCTTGGACACAGTTGTCCTCCCATTATTTAAGAGTTGGCCTCAAGTGTCCACCAGCCCAGCCAGGAATGCTTCTCACTGGAGGCCTCTGCTCCAAAGAAAGGACCCAGAGAGGGGACTGGGCAACACACACAACTATCAGAAGCATGGCGTGAAACAAAGCAAAGGCTTTTCTCCAAGGACCGAAAGTCCCTGAGTGAGCTCCCTTCTCATCTTACTGTAGCTGGCTTCAGTCTCCTCCAAAATTCTTAACAGTCTAAAGACTTGTTCCCTGCCTGAGTCTCTATCTGTTCCCCTGTGGCCAGAAAAATGGAAAAACACTAGGATATTTCAAAGAGATCATAAAAGCGGCCAGCGCTGCTCTAGACTTCACATGCCATCCGGTCCAGCCCATTCCAGGGTCTCAGAGACCAACAGGGAGCCGCTGAGGAGGAACCCAGGCCAAATCCACAGCCCTGTTTAAGCTTCTAGCATCCCGCACTGTGATTTTCCACTGGCTGCCTGCTGTGAGCTGGGCAGACAGAGGGGACTCTCCATGGGGTGGGGTGTCAAGGAACTGACCACAGAGCCACAAAACCCCCAGACTCCTAAAATGTGCCTCACTGTCTATGGTAGGTAGAAGAACAGCCCTGCAAAGATGTTCATGACCTGGTCTCCAGGAACTTCAACATGAAAAAGGAAGCATGACTCAGCGGGAGGAGCCAGGAGAACACAGGCAAAAAAGGTCTCTGCAGATGTGATTAAAGCCGAGGACTTTGAGATGGGAGAAGTTCCTGGGCTGTCCAGGTGAGTCCAGTCTAAAAATGTGAGTCTTTGAAAGAAAGAAGCAAAGGAGTCAGAAGAGTCTGATAGAAGGATTTGACTCACAACTGCTAGTTTTCAAGATGGATGAGGAGGCGACAAGCCAAGACTATAATGGCCCCAGAAGCTGGAACCATTCTCAGCTTCAGCCAAAGAACCTGCAGCCTCGAGAACCGAATCCTGCCCACAGCAGCCTGACTATTTTTGGTTTTATTCTAAGGAAACCCAGCTCAGACTTCACAGAATTATGATTCAATGCTAGAGTTATTTAAGCCACTAAGTTTGTGGTGACTTGTTACAGCATTAGGAAATCAATATACTGGGTGACCCTTTTTTAAACTGAGCCCAGCCTCCTGTCATTCAGAAAAAGGTGGACACAATGATCTCTGATACACTGACAGCTCTCCTGACATCCTGTCCAGCCCCAATTCCAGGAGGGTCTGAAGTTGAATGCCACTAATGGAAAAACAGAAAGAAGTGAGAGATTAATCTTAAAGAAGCCCCAAGGTGTTTCTTAAGATGCCACCCAACGCACATCAAAAGGCTCCTGCTGTGCTCAGAGGGAGAGTGGACAGTTTGGGGGAGCAAGATAAAAGCTTCACAATCACAGTCAGCTTCACTGACTGTTCAGAGCACTGGGTTGAGAAGGATTCCACAGAGGTTAGGTACAAAGTCCTGATTATCAATGTCTGCCCAAGTCGGGTAAAGAATGAAGAGTGACGTGTGTGCCAGATATGTCATCCCTAATTGAAACCAATTTCGGGAACCCTTCATTTTCTGCCCCTCTTTCTCCCTCATCTATTTCATTGTCCTGACTCACATGACCGACTGGCCAATCAAAGTTCAAATCAACAACATAAAGAAGTTATATCCATACACAATTAAGCAACTGACACAGTGAAGTCACTATATCTGGTTCACGGTCATTTAATATGCCAGGCAGATGGATTCTGGCATGCTCCCCTTCCTGGTACCTACCTTTTTTTTTTTTAAAGATTTATTTATTTATTTGTACAGAACTGGGGTAGAGGCCAGAGATGCGGAGGGTGAGAGGATTCACCAGAGACAGAGCGGGAAGCAGAACAGGCAGATCGACAAAGTACACTACTGAGGGGAGCAGCGGACGGGTCAGGAGAGGTATGCCACGCCATGTGGTCACCTCCGGGGCAGGCAGGAATCGAACTCATGAGGAAGTGGCTTTAGTTTCTTAGTGCAGTGCTTTAACCCGCTGCGCCACCAGGGAGGGCCCCCTGGTACCTACCTTTTTAGCCTATACTTCTGTACACCATTGTCTCAGGTTCATCTGCTTCTCTAGAGAGTCCTTACTGATGGACCAGGTCAGCGATTGTCAAAATTCAGACTCAGTTTTCCCTGGCTCTCTCAGGTAGGAAGTAACAGAAGCAAGACATGAATGCAGGTCTCTCGACTGCAGTCAGGGTCAGCACAGGCCCCAGAACCAGCACCTGCATTTCGATGACAGCTGGATACTTACTTCCTGCGTGATCATTCACTCTCTGGGCCTCAGTTACTTCATCTACATAGTGGATGTAATGACGGTCTGTACTTCAGAGAATTGTGGGAAGGACTAAATGAGTAAATGCATGCAAAATCCTCAGAACGATGCATGGCTACATGGGTGAACTAGAGGGTACTACACTTAGTGAAATACGTCGAATAGAAAAAGATAAACATGTCGACTTCATGCCTATGTGAAGTCAAATAACCAAAGAAAACAAAAATAAACTTTCAGCCTTTAAGACAAAATAACTGTTTACCAGAAGGGAGAACAAAGTGAAGTAGGTCTTTGGTATGATAAAGAATGAAATAGGGCTTTTAGTGGTGAACTTAATGTAAAACATACACATGTTGATCTTAGTGATGCACTTCTGAAACACAGAATGTTATAAGCCAATGAGACTTCAATAAAAAAAAAATTAAGAACAATGGCAATTAGGCAACCCTCAAAAATGTCAAATATGATTGTTATAATATCATTCAGTTTACCTGGCCAGTCAAGGTGGGACCAGCAGGGTGTGGTGGGAATACATGTGTCCTTTTGACACACCACTCTAACACCCGCAATGTAAGGCCAATCAAAATAGAGCCCCTTTTTTTCAGACACTATCTCTTTTTGTGTGGTTTAATCCAAGGGGAAGAAACAGAAGCATGCTTTTAAACAAAGTCTCAGGATATGTAAGACAGCAACTGAGACTGTGACTGTCCCTTTGGCCCCTTGATCCGTAGCCCCTGGGCCCAATGTGTCACCCACCACAGTAAATCCCCAGAGTCTAGGATTTGTTCTTTCTCAAATGTCTCACCACAGCTCAGTAATTCTCAGGGGATGCCAGCAAGGGGGAGCCCCCCCCCCAGGCAGATTATGCAACGGAGCCCACAGTTCTGACACCCTCAGAGGTCCACGTTGGAAGATTTAATGGGGCATGCCTAGTAACCTCTGCAGCATGACTCACAACCCTGGGGACAGCTGGAAACAGGAGGTCACTGCTGGAGCAGAGAATCACTCCTTAGCTCTGTCAACTGTTACTGTAGAAGCACAGGATGTTCTGAAGCTCAGCCTGGCTGCCTGTTTGTGCTAGAAGGATTGCTGAGGGCGGGCTTCAGCCAAGAGCAGCACTTCATGCTCAACCACAGCCTCCTATCTGTTCCACTACCACTTCCTCACTTTTCAGGCACTCACAGTCCTTCCTATCTCCCAGTGCAGGGGGCATAGATCTTAGCTCCCCCTTGCTGGCATCCCCTGAGAATTACTGAGCTGTGGTGAGACAGTTGAGAAAGAACAAATCCTAGACTCTGGGGATTTACTGTGGTTGGGTGACACATTGGGCCCAGGGGCTACGGATCAAGGGGCCGAAGGGACAGTCACAAGAATCTCTGATACTTGAATGGCTGAGCAGCTTTAACCACCACAGTCTGGAGCTTTGAGGAACCTACAAATGGCAATCCTAGTGCCCACTGGAATAGTGCTAGTCAGGAAGAAAAAAACTGAACAGCATAAGAGCCAGACCTGGCCACAGGAGCAAGATACAGCCCCTGTACCAGAGGGGAAGAAGGGGTGGGGTGAATGGGATAAATCTGACAGTGTGACCGCACTGGAACTTGGGTGGTGGGTGCTATAAGGGACACATTCAGTGTAGAGGTATACTCTGGAAACATGCACTAATGCAAACCACTGTTAAAGCTATAAAATTAAATATTAAATAACCTCAATGGACAGGTTTTACGGCTTACATCTCTCCTTCTTTCACTCAGTAAACATGCATTGAGCACCTATTTGCCAGGCCCCCAGCCAAGTGCTGAGCTAGTGAGAGAACCTGCAGTCGGAAGCACCGAGTCCGAAGCACCGAGTCCTAAGTAAGGAGGCAAGAAAAAGTGAGGTACTTGGAAGAAAGGCTTCTCTCCGGGGTTCCTTTACACAAGGCATTTCTCATTTTCGTTTCTGTACGCAAAGGTTATTTTCTCCCTTCCACAGATGGAGGAGCTAGGTTTTGAGAATGCACGATGAAATTACAAGGAGCCCCCCATTCCTGATTCAAACAAGTGGCCGCTTACGCGGGGCTTTGAGCAAAATAACAGTTGCGTTCTGGGAGGTGCAGAGACCCAAACTACGAGCGCAAGGAGGATGGCGAATGCTTGGGCCGCGAGCCCAGCCCTGACGCCCAACCTGAAGAGCAGAGACTCGGGGCCTGCCGAGAGAAGGCAAGAGCCGGCAAACCAAAGAGAAGCCTGTCTCCGGTCTCCGATAGGGCTGCGGCTCACCCATTCCCACCTCCGGCCGCCCCGGGGGCGCACGATCGTGGACCGAAGTGGCTGGAACTTACGATTTGAAAGAAGGTGAAAAGGGAAACGCAAAAGTGATGAAGGGAGAAATGAGAGAAAAGAAGGGATCAAAAGGGAAAGTTGGGGGCGGGGGAGGGCAGAAATACCGAGGTAGAAGACACAGAACCCCACTCAGGACACTCAATGGCCGAACTCACCCCAGATCCGCGGAGCTGCTTTTCAGACCCGCGGCCCCCGCCGCAGTCGGTTCGCGCCGGGTGTGCGGAAAGTTCGGGGGCACCGACGGCTCGAGAGCTTCTCCGGTCCGCAGACCACGCGGGATGCTGTGGCGGCCCCGGCCGCAAGCCCTGGAGGCTCGTCCAAAGCTCCCGGAGGCCGCAGCGCGCGAGAGCGGCGGGACAGCTACTGGCAGCCGGCAGCTCGCTGGCGTGGCTCAGGAATGCGCGCCCCAGGGACCGCCCACCCCTACTCAACTCCTCCCCCAGCCTCGAGAGGAAGGAGCCAGCCCGAGCCAGGGCTCTGAGAGGAGATAGAGAAGTCTTGGTTCCTCTCTTGCCTTGTCCTGTTCCGCCCTGGGCAACTACTTCTTGTGTGTTGGTGGGGAGGGAGAGCTTTGCTCTCTGAGTGGTAAACTAAGCTGTCGACCTTAAAATGTTTCCCCTAAGGTCTTTCCCAGATGAAGTGTCCTTGGGAAAGTCTAGCCCATGGATTTGGAATGTCCAGCTGGGACTCGGGGTTCCTGCCTTGCCAAGACTGTAGTGTAGAATACGTAGCCCTACGCTTCCACTCCTGGACTCTTCCTTTCTCTGTGAAGTGAGGATGAGACTTGTGTTCCAGCCCTACTGTGAAGACTGACTGAGACCAGGTTGTGAGTCACAGAGCAACCAGATTGCTTTCTAGCGTCAGAACAAAGGAAAAGACTCAGCGGAATAAGGAAGACTCCATAGATACGGGCAACAAATGCCAAAGAGGACTAATCAAATACTCCAGAACGAGGGGTACCGGGACAGTCTGGAACAAGGACTGTAAAGAAAAGGACTCTACGATAAGGGCTGGGACACAGGAGCTAAGGAGAGGAAAAGAGAGAAGGAATCTAGAGAGGGCGCAGCAGGATGGAGAACAAGAAGGTGACCTGAGGAAGCCACATGGAGCAGCAAGCATGTGAGGAAGAAACCGGGCTTGTTTCCTGACCCTGGACTGGTTAAGGCAGATGTGGGTGAGATACCTGTAGGGAGGTGACTATGGCAGTGTTTATATTGATTTCGATTTTGCTCTTTTCCTCCCCGACTTGTCTGGCCATTTCTGACCCTTTTCCGTGGGTCCCGGCCAGAAGGTGCTTTCGTCTTGTGGCGGCTTTCAGGCCTTGCTTGGGCCAATCCCTTTTTGAGTTTTGCCCACGAGGGCATGGGTTACTTCAGATGTTTGATTTAGACGTTATATTCTTTGTCTTCTGTATTGTATACTTACTGTATTAAAGTTCCTTTTCATTAAAGTCTTAATCTGTTTTGTCTTGATGCGGCAGATGGCAGAACCCATTTAGAGCAGGCAGGTTTGGAGGTTCAGGGGTGCCCCTCTCTCCCTGCCCTGTAATAGCTGAACTTTTACCCACGAGGAGATGGGTAACTTTGGGTGTTTGATTTAGACGTTATATTCTTTGTCTTCTGTACTGTATACTCACTGTATTAAAGTTCCTTTTCATTAAAGTCTTATCTGTTTTGTCTTGATGTGGTGGATGGCAGAAACTATTTAGAGCAGGCAGGTTTGGGGGGTCAGTGGTGCCTCTCTCCCTGCCCTGTAAAAAGACCACGGAGGACCACTCACAAAGAGACTGATGGGGCATTAGAATAATTTAGGAAAGAAAGTATATGTATTGTTAGACCAGCCTAGGCAGTGCAAGGGAGCCAAAAGAGCACCCTGACCCTGGCCTGCTGATGGCATCCAGGAGGAGGCAGATGTCACAACCACAGGACTCCGCCCACATTCCTGTTTGTGCAGATTGAGGATGGCCTGCGCCTTGACTTCCTCATCTGTACATTCCACCTTGGCTGTTCTGAACTGCGACCTCCCTACCCTACTGATGTTGTCTTTTGAGTTCGGGGTCCCTGGGTTCACTCTGGGAAAGGTTTCACCAGAGCTCCCCTTTGAGCGGCACGCGACAAGATTCTCCATGAGGCAGAGACTCAGTTATATTTAAAGAGGAAGTTTATTAGAAAGAGACAGGACAGGAAAAGGCACTTGCATGGACACAAGCAGGCAGAAAGATCTGCCCCAAAAGGACAGGTTTGCAGGGAGAGAGACCTGCATGGTTGCAGGTCTTAGGAGAGCGGCCTTCCCTGAGGGAGGTCAGTGCAGAGGAGTCCCAGCATGATACAGGTCACGGGCAGGCAGGACGCTACTGCCCTGCAGAGGGAGGGTGGGTGGAAAGAAGCACCTGCATAGTCACAGGTGAGCAGAGGAGAGGCTGCCCCTGGCTGATGGAGAGACTGCCCTGATACAGACAGCCTCTCCCTGGGAGGGGCCCTCTCCCTGAGAGCCTCGGTTTGTTGACTTTGAATAGATTCTGAAGAGATTCCTGATGACTTTCATCTTCATGTCCTTATCTTTGGATTTGAGCCTCAGACACAGCCCCCAACAGTCTGGTATCTGCTGGGACCTCCTGCAGATACTCAGGCATGGAGTGGGGGGGGGAGGGGGTGGGAGGCATCATGGGTTGACCTTAATTTCATGGCTGTGTGTGTTGCTGCACTGGCCCCTTCTACCCATCCCCTTTGTGTGACTCATCTTGTAATGCTTCCCCTGCATTCCTCCCTCCATCATTACTACTTTTGGGTATAAATTCTCTCCCTACACCTCTTTGGCGCAGTCCTTCCTCCCTTGGAGTCCCATGTGGCTACTGGCCCCAATAAACCTCTTCTCTAAGACCACTTGTGTGGGTTCCTTTCAGCAACACCTCCCTGAGACACGACCCACTTCTGGCTTCCTTGCTCTTCCCAGGCCTAGATCTTCTGTCCCGATTTCATTTCTGTTCCTTTTCTTCTTAATACCTTTACCTCTAAACAAATTTGCCTCTTTTTGCTAGTTTGCCTGAGTGTCACAAAGTTCTTGCTGCGGCTTTATGAGACGCTAGCCCGTGGTGGTCTGGTGGCCGAGACTCAGTGTGTCACTACAGCCTGGGATCTGTTCCTGGCTGGGAGACTAGACCTGAAAACCTGAAATTATAGCATCAGGTGTTTGTCAGCGGCAATGTGCTTCTGGTATCCTATTATTTTGTGACAACAGTGAAGTGACTTGGTCAAAAGCAATCAAAACCCAGCATCTTCCCCAGCTTCTATCTCCTCACTTCCCACCTACCACACCAACTTAATATTCTCCTGCCCTTTCTGTGATCCACAGAGGGAGGGGGACTCAGGGCCCATCATGACACAATTTTTCATTTGATGGTCTAGCTTTCTCCAATCTTCCACTTCTGATGCACAAGCCTTACACATCAGTGAGGTTGTGACAGTGTGGTCCCCAGGAAAAGGGGAGTTTCCAGGTTCTCTGTCCCACCCAAAGGACGGTGGAGCTGAGCAGAGAAGAGAGGAGTCTGGAGAGGAGACTGAAGAAGAAGGAAGCAGGATGGGAGAGCCAGAAGGTGATCTGAGGGAGGCACTAGAGCAGAGAGAGACATGTGAAGAAACTGTGCTTGTTTCTTGGCCCTGGACTGGGTGAAACAGATGTGGGTGAGAGACCCGTGGGGAGTTTCATGATGGCAGCATTTATCTTAATTTTGATTTTGCTCTTTTCCTCCCAGACTTGTCTGGCCATTTCTGACCCTTTTCTATGGGTCCCTGCTGGAAGGTGCTTTAGACTTGTGGCAACTTTCAGGCCTTGCTTTGGCCCAATCCCTTTTGGGTTGACTTTACCCACAAGGGGACAGGTAACTTTGGGTGTTTGATTTCGAAACTATATTCTTTGTCTTTTCTGTATTGCACACTAAATTTCCATTAAAGCTCTTATGCCTTGTCTTGATGTGGTAGATGGCAGAACCTATTTAGAGCTGGCAGGTTTGGGGATTCAGGGGTGCCCCTCTCTCCCTACCCTGTAACAGGGCCATAAGGAATCCTGGAGCCCTGTGAGTTTCAGTTCCTTCTTTTGCCCAACAGACATGGAAAGAACAACGCAACCTTCCCCAGGGCCGCTTGTTTATAGTAGTGGGCCTGTGCTTACATCCTGCTGTTTTCTCTGATTCAGCATTAGCTCAGAAGAAATCACCTCACACTCATCTTTACCAGATGTCAGAGTTTTATAGGAAAGACATGAGGAGGAAGGGGATTTGTAACTGGGTGGTCCCTAGGAGAAGGGAAGTTCCAGGTTCCCTGCCCCACCCAGAAGGAGGGTGGAACTGAGCAGAGAAAAAGGAGAGGGAAGAAGAGAGAAGGAAGGCAGAGGCAGATGGAGAAGGAGACCTAAGGAAGCCACATGGAGCAGCAAACATGTGATGAAGAAACCGGGCTTGTTTCCTGACCCTGGACTGGTTAAGGCAGATGTGGGTGAGATACCTGTAGGGAGGTGACTATGGCAGTGTTTATATTGATTTTGATTTTGCTCTTTTCCTCTCCGATTTGTCTGGCCATTTCTGACCCTTTTCCATGGGTCCCGGCCAGAAGGTGCTTTAGTCTTGTGGCAGGCTTTCAGGCCTTGCTTTGGGCCAACCCCTTTTGGGTTGACTTTTGCCCACAAGGGGATGGGTAACTTCAGGTGTTTGATTTAGAAGTTACATTCTTTGTATTCCATATTGTATATTCACTGTATTAAAGTCACTTTTCATTAAAGCTTTATATGTTTTGTCTTGTTGCGGCGGATGGCAGAACCCACTTAGAGCAGGCAGATTTTGAGGCCTCAGGGGTGCCTCTCTCTGAATTGAGGTGCCCTATAACAGATTGACATCAGAAATAATTTGCCAAAAATTCTAGGAATCATCATTCAACATATTTTAATTAAAAGAAGAGTGTGGGATCCTGAAAAAGTACCCCACAATTCTGAATAGCTGAATAAAAAACACTTCACAAGGGGGAAAAAATGTTAAAAGAGGAACAGCGTGATTTGACACAAAATGTTCTTCAGCCTGTGGGAGGGGAAAGGAGCTCCTAGGGGTGGAAGTGGTAGCACCATGTGCCCTGTGGGAACATTGGCTTCCTGCTGTGTTGGCACCAGAGCCAGCCTCCGCATGACTGTTTAGCAGAGCTTCAGTAACCTCAAAAATGACTTGACCAGACACCCAGTAAAGCAAGCCAAGAGCAAATTTGAATACCTTAAAGGCATTAGGTCTGATGTCTCAGCTGGGCCAATTTTGCTAAGTCGGGCTTTTCATGTAAAGAATAACGGATTCTGGCTGCCCCTCTAGAGTGTTAAGAGTGGGCCATACCAGCCAATCTAGCAGAAAGCCTCTGC